TATACTTGTTTAACTTCAAACACAAATAATATCGAAAAAAGTATTTTCTTATTACTTGTTTGATTTGTTGTTATCTCTTGCATAGTTACATTTTGTTTTTAATTTTGTGTTTTGTTTATACAGTTTTTGTATTATTCTGTTCCTTGTTTCTTTAAATCTTAATTTTTGTAAGCACAATTGAATGTACTATTACTTTTCCCTTAAATAGTTTAAAACTGAAATCAAAATTGTTTGAAACCAAACTAAATCGCATCAAATGGTTTGGTTTATTTTGGTTCAAGCTTCAAAGTCGCACTGAAACCAAACTAAATCACATTTCTCATTTCTCTTTCCAGATATGTGATCTATTCTTTTTACCGCGGTTTGTGGCCATTGCGGAAGGTGTGTAGAGCTCCAATTCCTACTTGGTGCTTGGGTGGTCACACCACCACCTTCCATCTGTGTGCAGTTTGCACTGTTGCTTGTGGGAAGTTTTGTCCATTGGCTTCCCCTACTTGTTATTTGGACTTTGTGGTGCTTGGTGGTGGAGGGTGGAACGTCCTCCCTTTCCAATTTAGAGCCTTTGTTCGGTTGGACCTCCGATCCTGCATGTGACGTTGGCTTGTGGTTGGCGGCGACAGAGTTGCTAGGCTTTCTTGTTTTTTGTTTGTATATTTTGAGCTCAAACTTTGGGTTGGGCTATGTTTTAGTGTTGATTTGGATCCATTATTTAGTTTAGTGCTTTCATGTAATCGGACTTCTTTCTGTTTGTTTTGTGGTAATGAATTGTACCCTTACCAAAAAAAACTTCTAAATCATAAGTTTTAAAATAAATTTTTTACATCTTAATAGTTAGTATATCGAGACTAAAATTAGAATGAAAATAACACAAGATTCTACCACTAATTATTTTGAGTTACAAAATATTATAAAACTTTGCTTGATATTACAAGCATGATATATTCAGGATTTAATTTCGTCCTACGTGATGAAAAAGGAAACAAAATTAAGCTTCGTATTGACTTTTCTAGCCGGCTATATTGTTTCTTGACTCAAAAGAGACATCCACTAGCTCATGACAATTTTTTCTAAAATATTTAGTACGGACAGATATGTGATCTTTTGGATTAAATCGATACCAATGAATACTTTGATTCACCTAGTATTCTTTCGTCTTGTCAACGTAACTACTAGCATTTAGAACGGACACATATGTAATTTGCTGGATTAAAACGATCGGTAAACTTTCGTTTGACTCTCTTGATTATTACATTAGTTAAAAATGATCCTCTTAATTATACTTTGATAAGTTAACTAATTATTTGAAATCAACTAATTAACACCTCACCATCAGATTCGATGAAATTTCATTCACATTATCGTCATATACTGGCACGACTCTAACCATCAAAAGTGAATCACGTGCTAGTCACATGCCAGTACAAAGTGGATAGAATTCATCAAATCTAACATTAAGGAAGAAATTAGTTAATTTCAATTAGTTCAAGGGTTAATTTGCTAAAAAAAGTAATACAGGAGGTCAATATCAATTAGTTTAGTTTACTCTTTAAGCGATTTTAATGAAAGGGTCACGTCAACGTGCAAATATCAAATTGATGAAAATATCAATACAAAGAAGTACTTCATGATTAACAACAGAAAAATATATAAACCAGAACTTTTTTTTCCTACTTTATTCATTTAAATTCTCACAACGTCCACAGAATTAATGTAAGCAATAATATATTATCTAATTTATTAATGTTTGAATCTCTTCAATCTATCTCTGGTTTGTTTTGTTGTTGTTGGGTCCAAATCTAGTCCCAAGTCCACAAAGGGTAGAGCGCCTGTTTGAGTACCGTCACTATCACTCTCAATCTCTCCCTCCAACGTCAGCCCTTCTATTCTTGCAGCTATTGGATCCGTTTTAATCCTCACATATACATCTGCAAGTCAAACACCAGCAAATCTATGAGACAATTAACATGTAAATAAGTAATTTTCTGAACCAATTTCTAAAATATTGTACGTATGAAATTAAATAACACTAATTCAATCAAAACGACTTTTATATTTGTATCATCTTTAAGTCATTATTGAGTGTATGTATCATCTCTCTAAGAGATATGATCAATAAAAATGTCTGTTCTTAGAGACAGACAGATGCTACACTAGATTGCCGATCAGTTAAGACAAAAGAAATAGTTGTTTTATTTAGTTTCAATTAATTATTACCTGGATTAGAGAAAAACCAAAGAACAAAAGCACAAAAGAGAAGCACAAAGGGGATGACATGCACAGCATTCTCAGCAAACTTAACGCGAGACCTCTCCTTCTTGGCCAACTCAGCTATAGGATCGTACATCGGCAGATCTCCGCCTTGATCAAACGACACGGACACTCGCAGCCCTGACGGCCCCTTCCCTGCTGACGGCGACGAAGTTGAGTGCATGAAGTACTCATCCGCCACCCGGCTCCAGCTTGCCGATCTATGCATCTTCACTAATTTCTTTCACCAGTTAACTTGGTACGTGGAAACGAAGAGAGACTTGAATGTTGATTTCAGTAAGTTTGCAAGTGTGAGACAGGAAAGAGCAAGAAAAGGTTAGGTCAAGAAAATCGGCTAGGATTTGGGATCAGAACTAGTTTGTTGGATCACTATTTTGACTGCAATATTATGTCCCTGTTACGTATGGTGGACCTAGTAGTACTTAAGCAATGCAAAACTAAAATCTTCTTTATTTGGATTTTCACCTCCTGAATTTGAGGTTGTCCTTATACCCAATTTAGTAAGTAGGGTCATTAAATTTCTTTTGAGCATCACAAATTGATTACCACTGATTTTATCTTTATTTCGGACCAATTTAGGATTGATGTGTATTGAAAAAAAAAAAAGTTTTTGATGTGCTTTAATAATAATCAATTGTAAAACAATGCATTTGAGCGTTTGATAAACAAGATTTGTAAAAGTGATGTGAGTATGAGAAACAATGTAAAAACGTTTTTAATGTAAAAATGATACATTTGTTATTGATATTATGAAAAATTGTTGTGCACTCCTACACGCACCCTACATTTGTATCCTTATTCAATTTTCTGACAAAGTGTAGAAAAACAATTCTCATTAGCCATTAATTATAATAAGCTCTTCGACCAATTTTTTATTTAGTAATTGATAGGAATTGTACCACACACGCGAAAGGGTTAAAAACTCCTATAATACTTGCAAGAATGACAAGAATATTGTAGTATAAATGGTTCTCGCAAAGTTGTTCTCCACAGGGATTATTAAATAAATCGAAGCAAACCAAATTCCAATTAATTATTGTAAAGTAGAAATGTGAGATGATTGATTTTTATGACCTAATTTAATAAAACGAATTTAATTAATAAAAAAAATAAAATAATCTGCAATATTAAAGCTGAAGGAAAATGAAACATTTTTGGAGAAATCAAAATAAAAGCACTAGGGATCCGCCGTCACCTTAACAATCTTATATAGTTCTCTCAATTACTTATGACTTATACATGCATATTTTGAAGGTTAGGTTTTCCTAATATATACCTACTTGGACCCCTAACATAGAGCGTATATCAAACATGCAATCCGTTTGTGATATTCAGATCAAATCTAAACATGCATGACTCATTACGTTCTGTGAAACCTTTTGACAAACCATGCAACCCTTAAGACGTGGTATTCATTCTGAGTGAAATTGCACATATTAATCATAAGAAGCCTTCGTCAATTTTAGGGATCGATCTCCGATCAAAATTGCATCAAATTACTTTTCTAAACATCCTAATGGTGATCAAGCATTGAGACAATTATATAGTTTAAATTAGTGATCAATAATTCGAAAACCTGCATGCATATAATCATAAGCAAATTGAAGAGAAACTACATATTCTTGCTAAAGCTTGTGGCCTCACCCTAGCAAAAAGAGAATTAGTTACACATATTCATAATAAAAATCATAAAGTTCTTTATTGAAATAATAAAAGATCGAAAACACCTTAAATGGAAAAAAGTCTGAAAATCTGTACGCTTGACCAATTTTCTTCCCTCAAGAACGCTCTTCCCTCAAGAGCACACGGAGAAGAATCTGTACGCTTGACAAATCCTCCTAAAACAAAGGTCTTCCAATCCAACTAGGAAAACTAAATACCAAAATAAAATAAGAAACACAACCCTAAATTAAATGATAAATTCGCCTAAAATCTGAACAGCCACGTTTTGAACCCTTAAGTTGCTCCAAAACTAGCTCAATATATCTGGATCCAAGGTTTGAAATATTCTGAACACTTCTCCAGAAGGCCACAGACCCATTAGAAGTCATCTTGAGCTCCAGAAACGCAATTTAAGCATAGAAACGTTATTTTCCAACACTGCGCATTGCTCCTTTATTCTGTGGCCAAAAAATAACCGTTTGGTAGAAAAATCCCAAATTTTGACACAAACACACCAAGAGACACACGAATGTTCTTCAATTTAAATCACTCTAAAATTCGTTCGTTTGATCATGCTTTGCTCCAGAAGAAGTCGGATGTCCTATATTGGAAATATAAATCAAAGTATTAAAATTCTACCAAAATAATTACCAAAACACACTAAGAATATAGTAAAATATATAATATTTACTTTATTCATAACAAGAACTAAACTTTATTTTATTTAAAACAAAAATTAAAAATAAACTTAGACTAAAAGTAAGTGTTTCAATCTCACTTCCCACAAACCATGTTGATGTGATATGCAAATTTCAAAGTATAATTCATGAATTAGTGTCTAAGCAACGATAAATAGAAAAGACTCGACTGTGGGATTAATCTTCACCATGTCCATTTGTTTTAACGTTTAAAATCATCTATGGATATTAACTTAGAAAGAATGAAAAATTTTAACTTGACACATCTATGGATATTAACTTAGAAAGAATGAAAAATTTTAATTTGACACAAAAATTAAAATCCTAAAATGTTATCCTCCCCCCCAAAATAAAAAATGACAAAACTATAAGAATAAAATAAAATAAAACACAAAACAAAACGAAAGTAAAGGAGATAGAGACACGTGGGCTTGAATTGGAAACCATCATGGGCGTGACAAACTTGGGAAGAGGCACAGCCTGGGTTTTTATGGGCAATCATCATGGGCGGGATTGGAATAGCCAACAAAAACCCAAGGGCTGGATTGCAATGGAAAGCAGCTGGCATGCACTTTGTATAACACGCATCCCTGCAGATCATGAAAGTCATATTGTCAGCAATCTTTCTGTTTTGAGCTGTGTCGGACGGCAATCTGGCCTCAGGACAAAGGAAAAAGACATGACAGCTCGGACATCACAGATCCACCTCCCATACGAAGGTAAAACTAATCCTGGGCTGTATTTGGGTCCTGATCTGAAAAGATGATGTTTTATGTCTCTGCATGGTCTCATATTGGTGTTCTCTGTGCAGGATAGGCGGATCAATGATAGATCCGAGGGAAAGAAGATGAATGCACAAGCTTCAGTGGACAAGAACAGCAAAGGCTTCCAAGAGCCCAGATCGGTGCATCTGGGAGGTAAAATTTCATATCCCTGCAAATTAAGTTGTTGTAGATCTGGTAATGATACCTGTACTCAGTTCTGTGGTGTATGGATCTGTGATTTAATTGTGCTCCTCATCCATGCATCGCAAAACTGAGCTGCAGAAAATTAATTGCTCAAAACTGTGCCTCAGTGCTGGATCTGCAACAACCACCTCCAAACTTGCATCTGTGAATGTGCTGCTCATGTTAATTACTATAAATTTCGGCATAGGATAGATGTGGTTGATGTTAATGTAGACTTGCTGATGGGTGCATGATTCCAGTATAGGATGCTCTTTATTTTTGGATTTTTCAAGTTTTTTTATTTATTTTTTTATGTTATGTATGTTTGTTTGTTTTTATTTTTTATTTTTTTTCATGTTTTTTAATATTTTGAAAAATTTTAGGTATTTAACTGCATCTAGAAATTTAAACGAATAATAAACTTGAAAATCAAACGAAAAATAAAATAAGGAAAGAGTTTAGAAAAATTGGGTTGCCTTCCAATAAGCACTTTATTTTAAGTCTGTAGCTAGACGTCGCAGAGTGGTCAGATCACTGGTTCCTTTAGAGTCAGTGACTCGCGTGCAATATCGAAGGGTGACTCCAAGTATGGTTTCAGCCTATGACCATTCACCTTGAATGTGTTGCCATTAATTTCGCTTGAAATGTCAACCGCCCCATGAGGATAAACCTTAGTAACCACATAGGGACCATTCCAACGAGATTTTAACTTCCTTGGAAATAACTTCAACCTTGAACTGAATAACAAAACTTTTTTCCCTGGATGAAAGTCTTTTCTGAGAATCTGATTGTTATGAAATGCCTTGGATTTTTCTTTGTAAATGCGCGAACTTTCATAAGCATCATTACGAATTTCCTCAAGCTCATTAAACTGGAACTTACGTTTTTCTCTAGCAGAATCATAAGAAAAATTCAACTCTTTAATAGCCCAAAACGCCTTTGGCTTGTTGAAGGCCTTCAAACAAGCCTCATCAAAAACAAAAGGAGCAGCCTTAGCCAATAAATTACACAGTGGTCGGCTAATCTTGGAGAATTCCTTGATGAATCGTCTATAAAACCCAGCATTACCAACAGTTGTCGGTGGTGGCAGCTTTGCAAAATTACTGAAGTACTCTTGTCCAAAAACAGAGAAGAAATTAAACTAGTTAACAGACAAAAAAGGAGCACTAGCTAGATTAAGATAATGTTATTTATTTATTTATTTTCATCAACTTTGAGTGTGTTAATGAAGGTCTTCCCTTCTGCTAGATCATTGTTGTCGAGAAAATTCAGAAAATCTTTGAAGCTGCTTTCTTTGTACCTCCCAGGATTCTCTTCACTCTCAAGCTCATTGGCAGTGCCCATCTTCTCCTCCAATCCCAAACTATGCAGGCTAGCAATGGAGATTCTTGTCCTGTCACTGTTCAACGTGACTCGGTGCACACCACTCTTGTACAATCCATTGCTTAGTACTTCAAAATGGTCACCCACATGAACCTGGAGAGCACCATGAAGCTGTGGGACTTGCTTCCATTTGTTGTCTCCGGTGTGCATGATTTCGAGTCCCGGGCTGCTCTGAAGAAGAATGGTTAAGCAGCTGTAGTCTGAATGGGGTGGCAACCCTAGTGCAATTTCAGGATTAGGGCAGGGTGGGTAGCAGTTCACTGTAATAACCTGCATTCCATCTTCCATTTTCTTGCTTATGTAGGTTGGACCTATCCCTAGGCTCTCAGTGATTGCTTCTGTTATCTCCATGCTCAGTTTCTTCACTTCTGAGCAATACTTGCCCATTGTTTCCCTTCAACAATATTGCAACCATATATAACTAATAATAAATAAATAAATAAATAAAAACTATGTTCCCTAAACAATATTGCGACCTATGACAACGTGATTATAAAAGTAGAGACACACATCTATAAATATGTCATATGTGTGTATACACCCCGCAGAAAAACTTTCCATGAATGATGGTAAAACATGAAGCATCTAAAGAAGTCAAGGGATGACGCATGAAGCGATACAGTTATTTGTATGCATATATTAGTATATATTGTACGGATGAGAATGTAAAAAAGTTTCACATCGGTGAATGGATATATTTAGTAAGTTCTTACAAGAGGTTTGATCATTCTTCATATTGGCTGTTTGTTTTATGGTGGAACCTAAACTTTATTTATGAGATCAGAGCAAGTTGGCCACTTATGAAACTCAACGGTCACATGTGCTCCATGTTACTCAATTCATGTAGTCTACGTATTTAGCTAGAAAATTCGTCACATCTAAAGGGGGCGAGCTACTCTTTTTATTGCCTATTAATTTATAGTAGAACTTCAACTTTCTTTATATATATATATATATATATATATTATATACACACACATATATAAAGAGTGGCCATGATGTATATTTAGTGTGATTGCCAAAAAATGAAGAGCGATAACTACGCCCAAATTAAGGATCAACCCAGGATCGACAAAATGTTTTTTTTCTCTACTTTGTTTTTTGTTCTTTTCCGAAATAGCAAAAGCAAATAAGAGATGCGGGACACGCATGAGAGCAAATGATTTAAGAGGATGAACTTTGTAGGTACGTACCTATAATTACAAGGATTGTTAGGCCAGTACTTGATCCAATCTGCCAACGGGTGGGCATAATGTTTGAGAAAAACCCTCCAAAACTGAATTTTATCAAGCCCATCCTTCAAGCTTGTCCCGTACCTCACTGGGCCGTGAACGTCATTAGACATGAATTTTGCCTTCTCTGAAACCGGCAACTTGAAAAACTCCGTCGCCGACGAAAGAGCCTCGTCCAACACCGTTTGACGGATACCATGGTTCTCAATCTAATGAGATGCATGAACATGAAGATCATCAATATATATATAGATCATCAATATATTATATATGTCAATAACATTGTGGACATCTTATGCATAAATGTAACTGCATTACAAAATTGTCGTACAAACTAAAAGATACCGGTATCTTTTATTCTTTTATTGTTTTCAAAAAAAAAAAAAAAAAAAAAACCCGGTACCATTTTATTTTAGAACGGAACAATATACTAAACCTACTTTTTTATTTTGCATGAAAAAAAATAAAAAATTGAAAGGACGTGCTTAAGAAGCTTACTTGGAAGAATCCCAACTGACGGCAAGCAGTTCTAACGTCTCCTATGACAAGTGCTCGTTCATCAGGGCCTTTTTTCAGTCTTCCGAAATCAATGGTGGGAACAGTAACAACATCTGGTGTCAAACTTGCACGCTGGGAAGTTGGAATCACATAACACTCGGGCACATATGGCAAGCCCTTCTCTTGTGCACTCTTCCCCATTGAAAATGAGCTTAAACTTTTTCCGTCCATCTCTCTAAGTGAAACCCTAACCCTACCTTTTCCTCAGCTCGCGAAGTGTAGAATGCAAAGAGAAGAAGAGAAATGTGAGGTAGCTGTTTGATGCAAAATGCAAGAATAGCTAGCTATGGTTTATATAGAAACAATTTAGTGTTGCTATTATCTATTGGCTGTACTTTGTATACACACCGACTTTTGACCTTTTTTTGTTTGTCCAAAATCTAACAAGCTGAGATATTTGAGGCACAAAACTATCAAATCAGTAAGCAGGTCCAAATTCACTTTCCCAAGGTATGATTTGTAGAAACCAATACTTCCTTACTAAGAAAACAGAGAGAGAGAGAGAGAGAGAGAGAGAGAGAGAGAGAGAGAGAGAGAGAGAGAGAGAGAGAGAGAGAGAGAGAGAGAGAGAGAGAGAGAGAGAGAGAGAGAGGATTGGGATAAAATGTTTCTCATTGATTGATAATGTCAGATTGGGATAAAATGTTTCTCATTGATTGATAATGTTATTACAGTAGAGTATATATATAGCCCTTGGCTTTGTACAACAATACCCTTTGCTAACTATGACTAATTACATATTGTACCACTACTCATCTCAACTAACACTTTACTGTTATAACAAAATAACAGTTTTGGATACCAAGGCATTTGCCTCAATACACCCCGTCAAGCTAATATTGGACTCAGCAAGAGTGCCAATGGGAAGCTTGGATTTTAAGTAACAAAACCTGTTTTTGGACAGAGACTTAGTGTAGATATCGGCCAAGTGATCTTCACTACAAACAAACTAAACTTTGATAAGATGTGCAAGAACCAACTCTCGAATACAGTGATAATCTATTTCGACATGTTTAGTTCTTGCATGAAAAATAGGATTTGAAGCAAGAGAGATGGCCAAGATGTTATCACACCATATAGTATGGACATAATTGAGAGGGAAGCCAATATTATGAAATATTTTGCATATCCATGTAAGCTCAGCAGCTGTGTGTGCCAAGGATCGATACTTAGCTTCGGTGGATGATCGAGTTACAATAGCTTGTTTCTTTGCACTCCAGCTGATTAGGTTTGAACCAAGAAAAACACTATAACCATTAGTGGATCTACGATCAAACAGACAACCTGCCCAATCAACATTTGAGTATGCAGTGAGATGAAAAGAACTTTTCTTAAACCAAATGCCTTGAGAAATTGTTCCTTTCAAGTATCGAAGAACTCGTTTAGCAGCCTGCATATGCTGTTCTCGAAGCATGCATGAATTGGCAAAGTTGATTCACTGTAAAGGAGAGATCATGTATTGTCCAAGTCAAATATTGAAGACCACCAACAATAGACCTGTAATCAGTGGAATTAGACAGAAGAGGACCACTGTGATCAAGTTTGGTAGAGCTGAGAGGAGTGCAGCAAGGTTTAGAACCTTACATATTTATCTTTTGAAGTACATCAAGGAGATAATTGCTTTGGTGAAGAAAAATACCCTCATGTGTTCTTTGAATTTCCAATCCCAGAAAGTAGTGCAAAGACCCCAAATCTTTGACTGGAAAAATAGCACTCAATTTCTGAATAAAAGATTGACATAGGGCAGTGTTGGGACCTGTAACAAGTATATCATCTACATATACCAGGACTATTACCAAGGTAGGTCATTTAAGAACAAATAAGGATGCATATGAAAAAGATTGGACAAAACCAAAAGTATGTAGGACCTGAAATAATTTGTCAAACCATGCCCTTTGTGCCTGTTTTAGGCCATAAAGAGACTTTCTCAATTTGCAAACATACTGAGGCTTTGAGGGATCAATAAAACCTATAGGTTGCTTCATATACACATATTCTTTTAAATCACCATGAAGGAAGGCATTCTTATATCCAATTGATTTAAGAACCAATTGAATTGTACTGCAAGTGATAAAAGAACTCTTATTGTAACCAGTTTTGCTACAGGACTAAAAGTATCTTGATAGTCAATACTAGCATGTTGATGAAAGCCCTTTGCCACAAGGTGAGCTTTATATTTGTCTATAGTGCCATTTGGTTTCTTTCTAATTCTAAAAACCCATTTACATCCAACAATGTTCTGGGAATCTGAGGCAGGGACTAAAGACCAGGTACCAGTAGATTGCAATGCATTGAATTCTTCTTGCATTGCAGATCTCCAATAAGCATACTTGGATGCCTGCAAGTATGTATTAGGAACCTATTCAAGATCAATGGGAAGTGGATGTTTGGTTGCTGAGTATGCCTTGGGCTTGTATATACCAGTTTTTGATATTGTGACCATAAGATAAATGTTGACAGCACTAATACTTGGAGCAGAAATAGATGAATTTGTAGTGGAATCACTTTGAACATGATGGTTAGTAGAGGTAGATGTAGAAGAGGCACTGGGAGATCCAATGTAAGAGTTGGATGGTAGATTAAGTGCATGACTATCTGGAGTTGTAGAGATAGGCACAGAAAATTGCAAATCAACCGATGATGAGCTAATGGAAATAGTGGGAACTAATGATAGTTTGGTGAACTTGTGAAATGGATAGGTGCCTTCATCAAAGAGAACATGTCGAGATATATACATCCTACCAGTAGTTGGATTGAGGCATCTGTAGCCCTTGTGTTGTAGACTATAACCAAGAAATACACAAGCTTCACTTTTGGGATCCAATTTTGATTGAACTTAAAGTTTGAGCCAGGGATAGCAGCTGCAACCAAAAACTTTAAGCCTTGAATAGTCAGGAGGCCTGTGAAAAAGTAATTCCCATGGAGACTTTGACAAAACCAGAAATTGGTAGCCTGTTAATCAGATATAAAGTTGTGGAGAAAGCTTCCACCCAATATATGAAGAACCTTGGAGGCAACAAGCAGAGTTCTTGCAGTTTCAACAAGATGTCTGTGCTTTATCTATGCACAACCATTTTGTTCAGGCGTATAGGGACAACTTAACTGATGAAGAATGCCATGAGTTTGGAGAAACGAGTTAAAAACATGAGAAGTAAACTCACCCTCTGAATCCGTACGCAAAGTCTTTATTTTATTACCAAGAGAGTTCTTTACATAGGACTTGAATACAATAAATGTATGAAAAGCTTTAGACTTAGCTTTTAACGGAAAGAACCAGTTATACTTACTGTAATCATCTACAAGTAACATATAATACCGAAAACCACTAGGTGAAACATTGGAGGCAGGATCCCACAAGTCATAATGAAGCAGCTTTAAACAATGAGTGGATGAAGAACTAGAAACACAAAAAGGAAGTTTGTGATTTTTAGCAAGAGCACAATCATTACAAAAGAAATCAACAACATATTTTCCTTGCAATGTTACTTTATTACTAGACAAGATTCTTCGAAAAATTGATGAAGAATGATGTCCCAATCGTTGGTGCCAAACTTGGACAGGAGCTTTGACACTTAAGAAAGCTGAAGGAAATGTAGGTGTTAAGCTGGATGCTTGAATAGGATAGAATCCATCCTTAACTGGACCTCGCAAAAGCATCTTCCCTGAAATACGATCCTTTACAGTGGATCTATTAGGGTCAAGAGTTAATGCATAATTATTGTCTTTTAAGAATTGGTAAGCAGACAACAAGTTATGAGTCATGTGAGGGCATGTAAGACATTGCTCAGTTTAAAGGAAGCATAAAGAGTATTCAAACATGAATGACCAACATGAGAGATGGACAAACCTTTACCATCGCCAATATAAACCTTATCTTCACCAATACAGGGAGAAGGAGCTGAGATATTTGCAATGTCATTTGTTATGTGAGATGTGGCGCCAGAGTCAATTAGCCAAGAAGGATTTGATTTAGAAGAGTAATGAGCACAAAAAACAACCAATTTTGCAGGTGGTACTTTTCCAAATATCTCAGGATTCATCTGATCGAAGCAATCAATGGCCGCATGGCTGGTGGACCCACAAATCTGACAAGGAACTTTAGAACCGGTGGGAGATGATGAGTGCTAAAAATTACCACGAGAACTCTGATAGTTGCCATGAGAAAAGTTGTTGCGATTGTTACTTGAATAGGTATTATGAGAAAAATTCCCTTGATTGAACCCTTTGTTGGTGTTATAATTGTGATTATTGTTGCGACCTCAATGGAATTATGCCTGAATGAATTTTGCAGAGGCTGCTGTTGAACAAAAAATGCCTGTGGAGGAGAGGTGCTTGAGACTGCACAAAAAATGCCTGAAATGGCTTAGTGGTGAAGGACGGCATAACTTGCTTTTGGTGAGCCATATAGAGCTCCTTTGTAAGTAACAGACCATGAAGTTCATCTAGAGAAGTAGATGAGATTCAAAGCATAATCGAGTCAATGAAGGACTCAAATTCCTCATGTAAACCATGAAGAATCGCTGCAATTAAATCACGATCAGGAACTGCAGCTCCAGCAGCTGCAAGAAAATCAGAAATTTCCTTAATTTGTTGCAGATATTCCGAGATCGATTGAGAGCCTTTTTGGACAATTTGAAGACGAGAGCGTAATTGATGATTGTGAGCATCAGTACTCTCCCAAATCGCTGCTCAAGTTTTATCCAGAGATCGCACGATGATGAAACACCAACAGTGAAGGGAATAATTTCTTCAGACAACGTAAAGTTCAACCAAATGAGAAGATTTTGATCATTTTCATACCACAATTTGAAGGCAGGGTTGAGAGAACGATTAGGCAAGAGCGGCGGCAGACATGATTTAGTGCCATCAATGATGTCGACGAGCTTGTACCGGCAAAGAATCGGCATAAACAAGGCACGCCAGGGAAGATAGTTCGACTGCGTTAGTTTGATCGGGACCATACTACCGATATTCTGAATTGTCAAAGAGGTATATGAATTCAAAGCAAAAGAAATTCCAGAAATTCCAGAGGAATTAGGGTTTGGCAATGTCGGTTCAATCAGAGAAGATGAATCCGAGGGTGACGCCATGGCTGATAGAGATCAAATTAGAACACAAATGACAGAGAGAAGGGACAAATCAGTAGAGAAATCAATGAACATTCATCAATTGAACAACGGAAGAGGATCGATCGTCGTGAGGCAGAGCGACTCTAA